GAATGAAACTGTCAAAAGCTTAAGATTGAAAGAAAGTTCTTATTACCAGCTGTATCCCTTATTCAGAAGATAAAATAACCAATAAATAAATCAGTTCAGTCAAACATTTTGTTAGACTGTTGTTGCTGTGTGTTTAGCTTTTTTTAAATTCTGTATAGGTTTCCTAAACTCATTACAACTCATACATATAATACAAAGTGTAACATTAATTGATTTTTACACTACTTTACCTTTACAGCTTATGAAACATAAATTAATKGTGTGTGGGATCAATAAAGTTGTATTTTGTAGTCCTTTAAGAAGTTTTAATACATTGTTTTTGGTACCTGTTTTTTCTCAAATTGTGCGTGCGTGAGCATGTGTGTGTGTGTGTGTGTGTGAATAAATGATGGTGCCGTATTAACGTAAATCTCTGTTAAAATGTTCTTTATGAAACAAAGTCCATTAATTTGTAGTAGTTCACAGCGCCGCGGTGCCACCTCCAATATGGCGGACGCACAGCCTCGTCACAGCAGCGGACCGACACAGTCAACCTTCTACATATATATATGTCTATGTTCCACTGCAGGAGGTGCTGGGGTCACAGGTTCCGCCCCCCGTTTCTGTTCAATATGACATCATCTAAAAAAATAAATAAATAAATAAATAAATAAAAAACGCTCGTGGGGATGGGGTGTGGATCTCAGCGTTGCGACCTCGTTAAAACAAAGCAAAGCGAAACAAACAACAAACCTTGATCTGAATTGCTGTACTAATTAATAATTTGAAGGTTTTCTAATACATAATATGAATCCAAAGTACATCAGAACAAACCACAAGGAAGTAAAAAATAAATAACTGTGCAAGTGAAAACTTTATAATTATATCAATAAAATGAGGACTGAGGAAGTAATGTCAATATTAAAATGCAATTAACAAACCTAAAATAAAAAATTGCCTTTTTTTTTTTTACATATTGCAAAACTTGCAGAGAAAATTTGCTCCTATAATTTCACATAAGTGTGTTTTTATACGTATTTAGATTTAGTCTGTTCTTCTTCAAACATATCTATAACAGGATTGGTTAGTATAACAAATAATAATAAAAACATAGACAAACAAGTGGGAAAAAAACAATCAGATTTATTACTAAACTGGAACACATTAACCTTCTACCAAACATTTTGGTGGCTCAAAGTCCATTTCAACAGTTATGAACAGAAACATAAAAATAAACTTCTCTCACTGGTTACAAGCAAAATAATCTTTAAATATATATGGATAATCTAAAACAGCAACATGACACAACAAAAATGGTACAAAAGAGGTACTCAAGGGCTTTCTTTTTTTTCCTTTGTTTTGTTTTTTTGCCTCTCTTACATGAACCAAATTTAGTGCAATGAAAGAGAAAACTCTCGAGTCCCTTTCATGTTTTTTAATAAGGCAAATGTGTGAAGTTTAACTAATTTAATGATGCGTGGATAACAAATTACCTTCTCTGATATGGGTTAAAAAATCATCATGTGCTTAAACGTAAAAGTCATCCTCTTCACATGAAACGTGTATGCACCGGTCTTTTGTTGTAAGAAAAAGAAAAGTTGTTTATGAGAACATTCAGTCAAAAAAAAAGATACGATAAAATGACAGACTACGACAGAGCATGTGCAACAGTCTTCAAGTGCTTCAGGTGTCGTCATTTTCATCCATTCATTCATCGATAAATGAAATACTGCAACACAGAGTGAACTGTTCCTGTTTGGTTCAGTGCCACAAAGACCCTTCCTTCAGCCTGCACKTCCTTCATGCTCCTTTTAATGAAGAGACAAAAAACAGCTGAAACCAGGTGTTTACGTACACCATGACCACATTAAATCAGACTAAACTTTTCCTGTTTTTACGTCAGTTAGGATTCCCCAAAGTTGTTTATATAAAGAGAGAGAGAAAGATTTGAAAGATTACAACACTTTAAAAATGTGTGAAAGCCCAAATGAGGTCATCGCTTTTGAAATGTTAGTTAACTGGAGCCACGCCTGTGGATGCACTGTGAGGCACACCTCGAACACTGCTTCTTTGTTTAGAAAAATAAAATAAAAGGAAATCAGCTGAAATTTCAGGAAGAGACCTGTTGATCTCCACAACTCTGGTTCATAATACAACTTCCTGATGCCTGAAGGTTCCACTTTCATCTTTTTAAACAATTATACGTCAGTATAAAACATCAATGCCATATTTCATACCATTATGAAATAAGTTTGGGAAATATTACTGACTTATACATTAGGTTTAGTCTGATTTAACATCATAAAGTCTGCAAAAAAGGTGTATTTAAACAGAGTTTCAGCTCTATTTAAACGATTGAATTTGTTTTCACGTTTTATGACCCAGCAGCTTCTCTTTGGTTTCTTCACATTTTCTGTCACAATCCTATTTACTTCTGTTTGTTTGATTTTTTTTAACTGTTGGAGGCTTTTTATCTCCTTTTTTTAAACAGGGAGTTACAACATGAACGTAACGTTATGATAAATAGTTATTTTAAAGTGTGARAATCCACCCAGCTTTAGATATGAACAGGAAACGAAAAAACCACAAGGATCTTTTTAAGGTTTGGGAGAAAGGTTTCAACATGTCCGATCATGTCAATGAAAAACCTACTTTTTGATTTAATTTTTTTTTTTTAGGATTAAAATCATCCAAAGGCGATGGGAGTCTGATCAAGCTGAAATGAAGGATGTGGGTCTGATAGAGGGGTGTCAATTAAGGTGCTGCTTAGACCCAAATCTTTCCAAAGACAAAGATGTTTGTTTTATTTTTTTTCTTTCCCACCGCCTCATCCTTCTGGGATTTAGGGAGCTTGGAGGTACGGCAGGAAGGATCCGAAAGAGTCAGTTCCGTCAAAGCGATTCGCTTGAACAGAACTCCTCATGTCTCAGGCTCGTGTCCCGCCAGAGGAATCACAAACACAGTGATGTCATCACCCGAGCCAAGTTTGTCATTGGGAAGCCGCCAGCCGCGCTCTTTCAGCACGCCTCGAGACCTCATCAGCAGGTCCTGCGCTGCCAGTGTGTATCTGTGCAACACACACACACACACAGAGGGTGGAGAGCATTAACAGTGAATACAAGGTCACAAAAATAAAATAGGTTCTCATATTCAGCAAAAATGTTGGACGTCTTACGAGCTGATTTAGATTTATTTTTCATGACGCAGCTGGTTTCATCCTGCATCCTACCTTAAGGCCCTGTCAAGCTATAACGTTTTAGACAACTTCTGAAACTTTTTATGTTTAAATTACTATTAAAAGCTTTTTATTTGATCAGTTTGTTAGCATTACAGTATGTACACGCCTAAAGGAGCTGATTTTTTAAAAATATCCAGCTTCAACGTAGATGTCTTTAAAATTTTCATAAGTTGGCATAAGTTGTTTAGAACGTTATAGTGTGATAGGGCATTTAGAAAGAAAAAATAATAATAAAAATGTCAAATAAAAATAAACTGATTACTTGGTTTACACATTACTTATAAGAAACTATATTATATTATTATATTATATTGTATAATTATATAAGCCTACATGGCTTTTTGCCTCTCCCTGCACTGTCATTACCTATTTTTTCTTTACATTGATGTATTTTTATTGTGCAAATAAACTAAACTAAAAAAATAAAAAATAAATAAAATTTCTTGTTTATAAACATCTATACATACATTTCTTATGCAGCAAACCAAATGAATAAGGAGATATTCTAGATTTTTTTAATGTGTTTGCTGCCATCTAGTGGACTGACACGGTACAGCATGCCAATATTGTTATATTGATTTCACTGCACAGAAAGAGAGAAAGAGTGTGTAGCAACATCAAAGACTTAATGGAAAAATATCATTTAGGAACCCGTTTACCTCATGGGATCAGATGGGTCACAGCATGTTAGGTAAGCTGACACAGCATCTGCCACCTCCCTGTCCGTGGTTACGTCCCAGAGTCCATCTGTGCCCATGACTAAGACATCRTCTGGACCATGTTTATTTTCATCCAGGTTATAAACCTTTACCTACAGGTTAATAAAAAAAATWATTTAGTCATGAAAGATCAGGCAATCTCTATTTCCTATAAAGTAATCAAGGTACAGAAATGATCTGGAATGAGTCGTGCKCAAGCAGGGTCTGAGCACTGTAAATTTTTCCCTTTTCTAGTCTGTACTTCTGAAAGAAACAACCGTACACATATAGTGACAAACAYAAACAATGTTCTAAGTTAAGAAAATGCATCAAAATAGTTCCATTAAATAATTTCRTTATGATTTTAATCCAGCCATCGTTTGTTCTGTTAAATGCTGACATGTTCCACAGCAGAAAGTTGATTTTCCGGTAAGATTGGCTAATTGTGGTTTTTGCAGCTTTTAGATGTTGGCCTGAGGTTGAGATGAGGAATTGGTTACAGAGGTATGCTCACTTCCTTTTAACTTGGTGTGGAGGTAGACTTGTACATGCAAGTTTCTGTTTCCTTTACATACTGTTCAGTTTGAAACATGCACAAGTATTTACCGAGCCTGAATGTAAAAGTGCATCTAAGGATTCCAGGCAATTTAAAGTGTGGGGAAAAAAATCTTTGCAGCATAAAATGTAATATTTCACTAAAAATATTCCAACAGTGAGAGGATAAAACCAAAGTCAATATTATTTAAGTTTTTGGGGAGTGAATAGCCCTTTAAGCTGCTGAGGGGGGTTCCAAATCATCTGTTAGTTTTGGTCTGAGATGCTGCTCTAATATAACACTCAGTGGTCCTCTGTGTTTGTTTATTGCACCTGTTTGTATACATTCTCACATTAAAAAACTACTTTCTGTTGCTAAAAGCCTTCCCTCCCAAAACGGCAACGTGGAAACCAAAGATTAATTTAATCTAATAAAACCAACAACCTAAAAGAGCTTGTAAGAAAATCACAAACAGTATAAGAGTTTCAGACAGAACAACAAAGTATCACTCAAGGCCTAACAGCTATTTGATTGTGTTTTGAAAGGAACTGGAAGATGAAAAGCTGTGACCTGGAGCCCAGTCCTCAGGCAGCGCTCGGAGCACAGACTCACCTCAGGCAAGCATGACAGGAAGGGCTTGATGTAAATGTTGGAGTTGTACACCTTCAGGTCATGATCTCCTAACCCTCGAGTCACCCCGATCGTTGCCATTACACGAGCCTAAACACACCAACACACACACAGTCAGAGCAAACACGAAAACTCCCATGATGCACTGCAATCTTTGATTTCAGGATGAGCCTCAATTTGAAAAAAAAAATCCACTTATGTAGGATTATTAAGTAAAGACCAAACTCTTCCTGACCATGATGAAAATACTGAAATGATTTCATTTCTGTTGTTTGGGCAGATGCAGCTTTTATCAAATGACCTCAAAAATCAGGATGTTTTAAAAAATCTACCATATTTATTCATGTATAATACAATCTCATGTATAATACTGTACGATCCCCCCGTTTTTTGAGCTTAAAAAGCTTAAAAAATTTAATCCTCAAACTACCTCCAATTTCATTCAGACTTCAAGATTTTTCAGCCTTTGCAGTCTTTATACATATCAGTAAAATGATCATTGGACTGTTCATTTTATTTTAACAACATATGTACTAAAAGGTATTTTGACAACAAATATACAGTATATCAGCTGTAGCAGCATCATATGAATTCTGGCATTTTACACACAGTCCACCAGGAGGCGCCAACACAAAAGTCAGAGACTTCACATGAGATTTGGACCATCTTGTGGGGGAAAAGCAGATTACTTCCTACTCGCGAGCGCCCCCTCTGGTGGGGAAATGTTTTTTCAGGGATACAAACTTTTTCAGAACACCGGTAGATGGCAGCCATTACAGACAAACGTGTTTGTTGTTGTTCCAGCAGCGGCTCGGTCACACGCTAATGTCATTATTTCGTTATCATTACTAAGGTGCAGGAATACCACCCCCCCTTTTTTTTCACATCATGTCACCTGCCTGGATCTGTTATTATCCCGCTCTGAAGCATGGAGGAGTGTCAGAGGTGAGCTAGTTTCAACTGCTTTTTACGACGCGGTCTCATTTCCGGACTAAATAATTTAGTGAATGAAGCCAATATTTCAGTTAAAATACATAAGTAAAAATATTTATCCGAGTATAATACTACCCCCAACTTTATGGATGATTTTATGGATTGAATTTTGCGTATTATACTTGAACAAATATGGTAAATTTAGACTGCACTTTCTGCAAAAATCAAGTGTAATGCTGCATGATTGATAACGTTTGTTTAGGAAGCTGAAACAGATATGTTAATGTCAATTAAACCAAACAATATTTAAAAACTAAAAAAGGAGCAACATGCTATCAAAAAGCCAAAAGTAGCAAAACAATAGCCAAAAGCTAAATTAGCACAAAAAAAGTTTCAAAAAGTTAGTTAGAAGGGCAATCTGAAGGCACACAATGCAAATAAAAGTGTGTTTATAAAAATTCATATTACTCTAATGATCATAATGTTATGGCTGATAGGTGCTTTTGAGCACGGCAAATCAACTGGCGGCCCGCGGGTCACATCCGGCCCACGAATGACCAAAGTTTGGCCCGCCAATTGGTTCATTCATCTCTTAAGCCCAAATTCCCGGGTCTCTACTTTAATTACGATAAGCTCTTTTAGATAGACAGAGACATGTGTGGTATCTACAGAAACATCAGAATCTTGACTAGAAGCTGGCAAAAAACATTTCTATTAACATCCAAGACAGTTAAAACTACAAGCAGTTGAAGATAAAACTATGAGAGTAAAAATAAAATTGGTTTAAATATTTGGCAAGTCAGAGATGGCAAAATGATATTTGTGTTAAATGGTGGCATAATGTGTTATTTTTGTTTTATCAGGGTTCTGTATGTTGTATTCATAATTAAATACAGCCATATAAACTATTTCAAAGGTAACAGATCTTTGTAATACTTAGTTTATTTACATAATGACTTTAATTTCTGGATGTTTGGCTCCTGTGCTGTTGGCCTACAATAAATGTGGCCCCTGGAGTAATTTAGTTGAATAGCTCTGTTTTGGAGTTTTCTTAGATGCTTTTTTATTATTATTAATTTTTTTACCTTTTTCCCCTCTCCATATATCAGTGGGAATTTCAGATCATCCTCCACGATTGTCTTATAAGCCCTGAAACAACAAGGAGACAACAAGTTTTAGCTGTAATGCACAGAGATTGTTTAGGGGGAAGTGACAGAGTTCATTTATTAGATCTTAAACAAAATAAAACTTAGTTTTATTTCAAAGCCAATTATTAAGCTTTGCTTAAGTTTCAGAAGAAAAGGCTATTTGCAGCATTTCCCAGTAAAATATTAATGTGAACTGAATATGTTGAGAATTTAATTATTAAAAAAATTATGTGTCAACTTGACCTCCAAAATAATGATTATATACATGTAGATCAGGGGTTCTTAACCTTTTTGACCTTGTGGCTTTTGAACTCAGGCTTATCAGCACAAAAATATAAATATATTTTTAACATAAACAATAACAAAAATAGACAATTCAAAAAATAAAATTGTGTGCATAAAATGAATAAATTAAAAGTGTTTAATGTTTCAGATTCAAATAAAAAACTGTAAAAATAAATTTGATAAAGTACAAATGAAAATGCAGCCTTTTTAAACTTTTGCAACCAGAAGCTGCTCTTCATATTAGTGACAAACAACAGTAACAACAGTTTTTGACAAGTTTAAAAAAATCTTTAAAATACATTCAAAATGTTTAAAAATAAACTATAAAAATTAATTTAAAGTGCAAATTAAAATATAGCTGTATCTGCAACTGTATTTGATAATGTTTTGAACTTTTAAAAATATTGCATGGTAAAAACAGAAGCTGCACTTCATATTAGTGACAAACTTTGGTGTTTTTTGATGAGTTACTTTCATTTTTGCTTCTACTTTTCATTTAAAACAAATTTCCATTCTCTGCAGGTTTCTAAGGTTCTTCTTCTACATATTAAAAAAGTTGTTAAACATCCGAGTGGCACACTACTGCTACTAGTGGTGAGAAAGTGTATTGCACCTTTTTCAAAATCATTGTGGTCCCACGGCCCTCTGCGGCCCAAAGTTAAAAACTGTTGTTCTTTTGAGGCCCTCAAGGTGGCGCTCGCGACCCTCAGGTTAAGAATCTCTGAAGTAGATGTTCTTACATTGTTAATTAAAGTATCGAGTTGTAACAGAAAAGAGGCAATTATTCTGAAACACTTGGAACCCTAACTCTGGGTTTTCTCTCATTAACTGTCAGAAATGTCTTTAACAGAGTTGAAAGGTTACCATCCAGTCATGCTGTGGTCTCTGTAGAGCATTTTCTTTCCTAATTCACTGTGCTGGATCCTACGAGGAAACTCAATGTGAGTGAACTCATTTCCCAGGAGTTCTGGCCTCAGGAAGCCCTAAAGAGTTGTGCAAAACATAGAAAGATTAAATCAAACTAGAGAACTTTAATTAAAAAAATTAATTAAATAAATCTTGTTACAGCTCATTTTTCTGAAACTGGTAATATCACGTGTRTCATATCGCATGTGTCATATCACCTAGCAGTGGGGGAATAAAAGCACAGCTACCCGTTTTAGCAGCAAACACCTTCTACACACATTATGACTCAGAGCCGCACAGCTGCTAAAAACAGGCAGCCAGCAAACGGGTTTATTTCAAAGTGAAGCAGAGCTTACAAGCTGTGTTGTTATGACAGCATGAAGTCRGTTTATGTGTCTGGTAGTGAAAGAGGAAAAAATGCATCTGCATTGAGTAGCATGAAGAAAAATACCAGATACTGTAACCGCTGTCTCTCTGACTCAGGTGTGAATTCATTAGTCATGGGAATGACTTCATTATTTCGTATGATTATGGCCCTGCAGAGACAAACAGAGAGAAAGAACCAAAAAAGACACAACAGCAGCTTTGTTAGACAGAGAGAGAGAGAGGGGTGTGTGTGTGTGAAAAAAAAATTGTTACATGACGGTGCAACACGTAAGATGAACCTCAACTAGAACAAAATACCCAAATAACATTCTCCTCACCTGCTGTCTCCAGCATTGGCTACATACAGCTTTCCCATTAAATTAATAGCAGCTAAGGCACAGCAGCCACCCGAAATGGCGTACGAAGTTTTCTCCTTCTCAATTAGGTCATCCTGAGAAAAGAAAAGCGAGAAAAATCCAAGTAAGAATACAACGATGAACAGCCTCAGCTCTGCCTCATTCTAAACAAAAAAGCCATTACAGGAAAACAAAAGCACTGATGAACAAGAACAAAGAGGCTTTGAAGGAAACATTGCAGAAGCTGTGATGTGTTTCTATCTAAACCAGTGAACTTGCATCGCAGCAGAGCTTGGTTTGAGCCTTACAGAGTGAGCCGTCTCAATTAAAAACCCTACCTGCAGCTCAGGGTGGCTGCAAAGCAACACATTCTGCTGCACGTCAGTGTCAGAGGACACAAAATGTTAATGAAACATGAGATTCGGGAAGTACAGCAAGTTAGTAAATAAACAAATGTATTAGTCAGCTTTGCAGATATTGAGCTTAGGTTCGATGTACCTAAGGGTCATTCACAATATATACTTTGAGAATGACATTTAGGGATTTTGCAAGAGATTGCACATGAGTTCCAACTCATTTCTCAACAAAACATCACTGCATTTTGGTTAATGTATTTTGTGTGATTAGCTAAAGCGAATTTCTCTTTGTATGTGCCCAAGAAATTAAAAAAAAAAGTTCAATTTTGCCCACAAATGAGTCTTATTGAGTGGGTCTTTAAGATTCTAAGCTCTGTCAAAAATCTTCTGAATTTGTTTTTTTGTGCAACAAAAAGCTACAGTGTGTTATTATGATAAAAAGGGAAAAAAAGTAAAATGTATACATCTTTCTGCTGCCTTTCTTTTATGTTCTTTAGCAGAATATAAAATATTTGATTTTGATTTGATTTATTTCAGACATGTCAATTTCATTGATTCTATATAACTCAATATACTCTTTCACATTTCTACAAAAAAAAATGAAACCACTTAGACTAATTACACACAAATAAATAAACCTATAAAATAATACACACCCGATGTGCACACACCTATCTGTGAACACATACCCAAATACACGAAGCACATAAATCCCATTAACATGTCTGAAAAGGGGTAGGAAGAAGTAAAACTTATTTAATCCTACCCCTATTCACCATTTCATCTGGTTTTCAGAATATTATCAATGATGAAAAAAAAACCAAACAAACAACAAAAACCAAATAAAATACACATATAAWATAATACATAAGATAATCCAATATTATTCTAATACTGAATTTCAAGTTATATGTTCACATCCAGAGACAATCACATCCAACTACACACTACTTAAACACACATTCACATTCAGATACCCAGCACCTCTCCATGCRTCCATCATCATACACCAAAACCACCCAAGTCCAGTCTCCCCAACGCTCCAAAATGCCAGTGCAAGCACTATATAATTTCAGCCCATACATTTATAAAAACAAAACACAACACAATATAAAGTTAAACTGCACATTTACTCTTAAAAATAATATAAAAATGTGGCTTTTCAGTGTCATCTCACCATCTGTTTGAAGGCGGTCTCTATGACTCCCATCACCAGGCTCTCCAGACTGATGACCTTCTCCATGTGAAAGCGCACCGAGGAGTCGCAGACGGCATCGGGGTCTTCGGCTTCCTGCGTGGCTCCCTTCTTGGCGTCTGCCTGGTACGGGCTGCCGTTCTTGGCCAAGCAGATGGGGGGGTTGCTGCTGGGATTTTCCAGGAGGTGGCAGATCTCCCCGAGACCGTCTCTGATGAGGCGGTGGAGAAGCTTGGAGGCCATGATGGCGGCGCCAGAACCTGCGTGTCCGTCRAACACCCCCCAGAAGTGGAGGGGGATTCCTGTGCCGTCCTAAAAGGGTGACGTGAAATTTCCTGAATCGGTTTTAAAAAAATACTATAAATGTGTATCATAAAAAGAGAATATCCTGTTAACGATATAAAGATAAAGCTATCAACAGTTTGCATTTTGCAAAGCAAGTGCTGTTAAATTTGTGCTGACGTAGAGATGGAAGGAAAACTCCCCTCGGTGCTTCTGCTGCTTCYACATGATGCAATAAACAGTGGAAAGAAGCTGCCACCTTCGTGTTTACAGGCCCRGTTAGTCTGACTGATTGACAAATAAACAAGCACAAGACATCTGTTTTTCCCTCTGATGTACACTCAAGAGGGGGAAGGGCACAGCAAGAGATGATGTCATTCATTTACACCAAATGGAGGTTGTGAAAAAGTGTGTGTGTGCTTACTGTGTGTGTGTGTGCAGGTCTTTTAAACAGATACGAACTTGAAGATGCAAAAGGATAATTGAACGACTGGAGTAAGTAAAATTGTGAGGTCGTGTTGTTAAAATATAGCAGAGTGTGATTTTTCATTGCAACAGTAAAGGCAGTTTACCAGTTACTTGCTATTTAGGACAGAAAAGGAAACTGCAGTCATTACAGTTTATTTTGCAATCCCATTTTAGGAGACACATTGTCCACCGTATACTGTGTACTGCTCTGGCTAGAATAATTATAGCACTTGGAAATGCAATAATAGGTCCACATCTGGTTTATTGTATTGAAGTCTGGGGGAAAGCGTGTAGGACAATTACAAATCCTGTTTTTTTTTTTATTATTACAGAAAAGAGCTGTGAGAATTATTACTGGAGAACATTGTCGTCACCCATCAAATTCACTTTGTAAATTGAAAATATTGACGTTCTTTGATTTGGTTGCTTATAATATTCTACTGGTTATGTATAAGGCCCACAAAAACACATTACCTTTAAACATCCAAGTAAAATTTGTTATGAGAAAGAGTTGTTATAACCTTAAAGGGACAGACATATTTGTAACACGTTTGAAGGAACGGTGTGTTTTAATTCAAGGAATAAAACTATGGAATAATTTGGGGACTGATGTAAAAAATGCAGGAACAATGTGTACATTTAAGAAAATTATGAAAGTTGCATTGTTAAAGAAATACGAAACAGTATAATGTGTATCTATATAGATTGCTGTTCTAGAGGGATTAGATTTCTTGTCTTTTGTTTTGTTAATAACATAGATTTTTTTTGTTATATGAACTTATTCTTGGGAAAAAAAGGGGCAGATATTATAAGATTTGTTTTCTTGTCTCTGCTGCCTTTCATTTCATTTTGGTTGTGTTTTCTCTCATTTTTTCTTTTTATATTTTTCTTTTTATAGTATATTGTATATAAAATTATTTGTTTTGTTTTAATGAAATGAATAAATGAATTGAAACAGTGCAATGTTATTATGGCTGTAGTGGTGCACCAGGTTTGCGTTTTCCTGCTTGTCCAGGCTTGGTGGGAGGCTCATTACTGAATACTCCTTTCCTATGGTTTCACAGTGTGTAGCCATGTTTCTACCCAATTGCGATGTGAATTTTAAAATGTTACAAAAAAAAATAGAAAAAAGAAAAGAAACGTTTTCATGTTGTTCTTTCCAGTCTCACCCCGCTGTCGTCCAACAGACTGGAGTTTCGGTGTTTCCCGCTCGGCTTCCTCACGAACAGCTTCTCACACGCCGCCTGGTCCTCGTTCAGCATGCTCTTCCCCGCATTGATCACCCTGACGGAGAAGAAAACAAAGATCGATCGGGATCCCGGAGTTCCCTGACTCCGAACGTTTGCTCTGGGGTTCTCGGATCGCACAAAACAAAGCAGCAACCGGAGGTGAGAAAAACGAACAAGTGAGGTAGAAAGAAAAGTAGGGCAGGATGCAGTCATGTCCCAGAGGGAAGTTGCAGAAAAGGATTAAGTGTTCTTTATTATGAGATGATGGCTGTGTGGAAGGATAATGGCTTTAGAGTAAATGCACTGTTTCATACTCAAGCAGCATTATCTTCTCTGGTTTGCTTTGCAGCAGCGTTCGGGGAAACCACCAATGCAGAGCAGCAGCATTAACGTTGCCAAGGATGTAGAAAAGGGTTTAGGATGAAGCATCCAATCTGACTTCTTGTTTATTCTCATCATACATTTAGTTTGGTCTTTTATTAGCTCTAATCTAAAAAGCAGAATAAAGTTTGTTAGAAGGCCATTATTTTCTTCATTCTGATGATTATCAAGCATGTTTTGTATTGAGTTGTGAAATAATTCCTAAATGATAGAATATCACTACACCGTCTTATATTCCTTTGAATTTATGCTTTGTGAGCTGAGAAAGAAAGTGTAAACACCAGTGCTGACATGTTATCCTCTTATCTTGCAAACACACAAAAAAAACATGGCACAATTACGCATCCTACAGACACAAAACTAATTTGTGTTCATTAGGCGTCAGGTTTCTGGTCTCCAGATAGATGCGAGTCCAATAATCACTCGTCTTGTCTTTTCTCCACCAGGTCTTGAGGGAAATGATCAAAACATTATTGTGTGCCTTTGCCTTTCAGTGGTGATGGATGATAAAAAATCATTGATTAGAGCTGCTACGAATTGAACTTTTGCAAGTTTAAAAAAAAAATCACAGTTATGTGTTTGCAGTTTGCAAATAAGATGCAAATCTGCACCTAAAATGCAGGTTATGCAAAYTTGCTCAGCTGAATTCGGTGCATTGGCAGCGCTATAAAAACATCCACATGCATTGGTCAAGCTGCCACATGAGGATAACTTGGAAAGGTTGCAGTTTGGACCCCACGCTGGTACGTTATGTAACGTTTTCAGTTTCTATTTGCGATAAATGCCACATTAGCTGGAAAAATACAGCACRGGGCAAACTGCACAAATCCAATAACATCAGTAAAGTTAGCAAGTCCCCCCTGGAAATCTCTGCAGGTAAAGGGCTTAGGAATTCATCAGCTGCTGCTGGGTTTTACTGGAGTTACAGGAGAAACAAGGAACAGATTAGAAGTCTAAAAAAACAGACTGAAAGAAAATGATTAAAGAGAATAAAGTTCACAACAAAGATTTGAGATTTTTGAACGTTAAAAACTCTAAAACCAAGCTGTTTCCATCTGATGCTGACAAATACTACGAGTTAAAAAAAGAGCATCGGTTGACCAAATCCAGCTTATAAAAAGCCCTTTCACATTCTAATCATTTGAAAGCAGTGGACAGGCTCCACAGTGTCCAGCACTGAGCCGCCTGCGTTTGGACTAATGACAGGGAAGAATTTCAAATCGCCTGATTGTCGTCTACACCTCCTGCCAAGGCCGGGACGTTTTCAGATATTTGTACGCAGGACTGGGGAGAAACAACTCTTCATCTGTTCTGCAGCATGATCACAGCAATTCCACAGCATTTTTCTTTCTTTCTTTTTTTTCTTTTTGGTCTCAGCATTGCAGATTGCTCTCTTCAGCAGAGTTTAACCAAGGCTTTTTTTTTTTGTTTTGGTCAAGGTCATGTGGAATTTTTGGCAGCATTCATGCTGCAGCTCACAGGTTTGGGGGGAAACCTAGAAACAAATGCAGAGAAGCTGTTGTGATCACAGGAGAAAAGAGAGGAAGGATTTGTTTWCTTTTTTCCTTTATAGTAAATTGTGTTGAAACAGTCACACGAGTTCAATGAGCTCCAAATATCCACGACTGTGGGAGGGTTTTACACCAAGCTAAATCAGATCCTCCTAAAACGGGAGTCAAAGTCTTTCACTCAGCTTTCTTTCGGTCATATGCCTGCAAAACCTGTGACTGAAAACCGAACTGGTCATGTTTACTGATTCATTGCTTCTCTGTTCGACTTTTGCTACTGTGATTTTATGCAAGAAAAGTTCAGAAAAGGAAGTTGAGAGTTGCTGTGAATTCTCCTATTGAGGCAATGAAGAATTTTACGGTCATACACCTGAGAACTGCTTATTCAAAAGCAGCTCCTTAACAAGCAGAATCTGAAATAATCTTTGACATGTAGTTTATATTTCTGAAGTGCGGTTGTGAATACCTGAAACTAGATGGAATTAACCAGTTTAGTTTGAGAGTTTTCTTTGGAAAGATTTAGAAAAATATAGTTCTTTTTTAAGCAGTTTGTCTATTAYTGGGCTTCAGCTAAAACTATTTTCAGCTTTCTGCTTAGTGAGGCTACATCAGGAGGAAGCTGACAGCCTGTCCGTTAATGCAGAATACAGGTTAGACAACATCTAGGCTAAAAGTTTTCATTAGTAATGACTGAGAAATTAGATTAGTCATGATTTTTGTTCTACTTTTGAGGAGAGGAAGTTGTTCAACGCATGAAGAAATAAAAGCTGACTGAAAGAAMATGSAGCAAATGCAGCTAACGTTACGAAACACCAGCTGCAGAACAGAAGGTTAAAAATGTGAACTACACGATTATCAGAACAAGATGAGTCACAGTATCAGCAGATGAACAGTTTTATAATAATACAGACAACTTTTTTTATCTGATGAGAGTTATAATTTTAAATTGTTAATGACATTTTTTGGTCTGAGAGTTTTTAAATGAGCTGAAAACATTTGGTCTGCTCTTAACTATGAACCATATTTTACATAACATTGCAGTACATTACATAAAAAGTTACAAAATAATTCCATTTTAAATAGTTTTCAATCTGTTCAAACACAATCTATTTGTTTAATTTTTTTAATCTCATGATCATTGAAGGCCTCAGAAGTTTATTTTACTGTTGTTTTCCATATGTATTAAGTCGTTTTTAATCACACAGCCTGTTTATAAGACCAATAAAAGTATGCAACTCTTGACCCAATTTTTTTATTATCCAATGTACAAATAAAACATGTATGCTTTTTGCCATGATGCTCCAAGCACCAATATTTTTATGCTTCTGCAAGGTAGGGGACCATGTTCAAAGCATTTCCTTCTAATTAAACCCAGTTTTGTGTTGCAACGATGCACCACAACGGTCCACATTAAAATCTATTTTTTATCTGCTCAGTCACGATGTTGCAAGGCCAAGAAAATGCACCATGGAAGTCGTTGTTAACTCCTAAATGATGGAACATCAATATGAAGTTGCGCAAAGTTTAAAAGCAGGCCAGCAGGGTCGTCTCCAACTGGACACCATCCATCTGCTCTGTTTGGACATCAGCGTTTCCACTCATTACAGCACAAGAAGAATTAACAGCTGAACGGGCTAACAGATGCCCTATCGCATCGATCTAAGATAGTCATCCACACGATCCAAGGTTTTCTCATTTTGACCAACAAAGGAGCATCAGAGCTACAATACTGCAGCAGTGTTACAGTTGTGGTGTCAGATGCTGATCGATTGCTGTTTATGTGAAACTAAATTTGGCTTTCACTCGCTCTAAATGTGATACTTTCACTCTGATGTAATGCAGACGTTTTTTTCTTTTTTTATACTCGACTAAGTGTCAGACGGTTGTTGACTTGCATCGCAGTAATCTGCAGACTTTCAGTGACAAATTCCCACAGAAGAAAATATCTGACTTTTAGCACCATAACTACCACCCCACTAAACCTCAGGTGACCGGTTTCATTCAGTCCTCTGAGGACGTCTCATCTCGGTCTCCTGGAAACTTTCTTCATGAGTCAGCATTCTTTTTTAGAAAATTACACACTTGATCTAGGAGGACTCCACGCACACACAGATGCCTCAGAAGTAACCTCAGACAGCACATTAAAGTCAACAGATGACCTGTGTTGGGTTATCAAAGAGAAGCAGACTCTCTGGGACTGCCATATATTTGAAAACACTTTTGATAAACCAAGATTTGACTTGCCTCTTCCTTTCTCCTCTGATTCCACCAACATCTATACCCATTGTAGGACCTCACTAATATAACGGGCATTCAGTGCTTCATAACATAAACTGATTATGGATAAATGGACTATATATAGCACCTTTCTATCCAACTGATACTCAAAGCACTTTCCAACACAATTTACCAATACACAACCACTTTCATTCAGCACTCTACTACACCTCTACAAGGCTAGTCTGGATAAATCATTCTATACAGACTAACCAGTGCTTTTGACACATGCAGACACTGATTGGACTCATCACAGGCAATAAAGTGTTCAATGTCTTGCCCAGGGACCCTTTGACATGCGACTGAAAAGTGGTAGAATCGAACCCCCAACTCTGTCATAGGTAGGCGACTGCTCTAACCACTCAGGAGGACTTTGATAAATGCATTGTCCGACCTCGACAGTGCGTGGGTCAGKTTTATGTGGTCTTCAGTCGCTCTTTTAACGCTTAGACCCCCCCAACCCGCTCCCCATAGAATTTCGAAATCTATTTAAATGTTTTACCTAGTTTGTTTTCTGCTTCGGTTTGGAAAAATTGTTGTCAATTTGTGACGTGCACTAGTCTACAGGGCTCCATGATTGCTTTTCTTATGCTGTAATGGACATAAATGCAGCACTTGGCTCCTAATTTTCAACCTTTGATGATCTCTAAATCCTTAATGGGTAGTCCGATTAAAAAAGAAAAAAATTTGGAATTTGTACACAAAGCCTTACACGTAAAAACAGCTCTTAAATTAGTTAGAAATTTTTTTTATCATAGTCCTTACACTTGGCCTCAGCTGCCCCTTAATCAGCCAAACAGCCAATTTAAATTGGCTAATATTTGCCCCTTTAAAGGGTAGGTAATCAATTACCAAGTAGAGAACTGAACATGCAGTAGCAGCTGCTACAGCCAGTTATTTATTTATTTATTTATTTATTTATTTATTTATTTATTTATTTATTTATTTAAGAGAAAATGTTTCTATAAACATTTTTAGGTAAGCTTTTCTCTACATATCATATCATTAAGTTATGCAATAAGTTTTATATTTTTAAGAATTTAAGTTCAACATATTGGCCAAATATCAAGAAAAAWTTTTTGGTATATCGACTATTAGCTGCACTGATGTCTAAACAAAACCCATATTGCTTATGTAAGATTTTTCTAAGTGCAAAAACAGGTAGATATGCTCATTAAGAAACTGAAAATGTCMTTTTAGGAACACAAAGACGTGTTTAGATAAGTGAAAGTGGGCAGATTTCCTGCCTCTGTAAGGCCTTGACATGAGTCTGTAAACTGCTCTGATTCAAACATCCTGAACGTGTCCAGTTTCATCAGAGTTTAAAGATGCTGCTGCTCAGCATCTGCAGGGGTGGACCCAACACCATGAACACAAGAGGCCATTGTGACCATCATCATCATCATCATCATCATCATCATCATCATCATCTGAGCTGCAGCAGCAAAAAATAGATAAATTGTATAAAAAAAAACCTGCCATCATCCTCATCAGGCCTGGGAACATTTTCACCGAGATGTCATGATTTATTTGGAAGCATCGACCCACTCACTCTGCGTATCCGGTCCTCCAGGGGAGCCTGCTGTCCCTCTTTAAGGTGAGCACCGGCCGCGACGCGTGCTCCGTGGAGTACTGCAGGAGCTCCGGGGTGAGGTCCAAGAACTCCGGCCGGCCGTAGGGGAAGCGGGGCGGCAGACCGTCCTGGCCGCCGCACGTCTGGCCTCCTCCACCTGGGTGATGGTTGTGGTGGTGGTGGTGGTGATGGTGTCCGTGCGGCATCATCCCTCCCACCAGGTTGGACATGGCGTTTTTAACTTTGCTGATCATCATCGGCGCCGACTTCTTCTTCTTCTTCTCGAACAAAAAAAGAACAAGAAAATCACGCACGATGCRGTGTTACGGCAGAGAGGAGGAGGAGGGAGACACGGTGATGTGATCGGTGACGAGAATCATTTCAGGAAGCGATTGTTTTTTCCTCCTCGGACCCATGTGACGCTTCGCGAACAGCGGACGCGACGTTTTCCTCCTTCAGACAGACTGAAGCCCTCTGCTGCACGCAGGCTGTAATCTGACGGGAGGCTGGCTGTCATCTCAGGAGGCAGGGCTTCACAGGGCTGTGCAGCCAGCCGTGGACACATCACATGCATGCAACAGCAAAAACAAAACCCCATCAATACTGAATATGCATAAGCTGGCTTAGGACTCAAACAGTAACAAAGGAATAAAATAAACCTGCTGACTGTCATCCACCTTTTTCAAACATTCATTGCAAACTGTGAAACATAAAAAAACATCTTGATTTATATCAAATATAACAGTTTGAATGAGTTTACTTCAGTAGTTTTCTATGCAATTCTGAAATGTGGGTACACACTCAACGTAAACGACAAAAAACAAAACACTTTGAGGAAGAATACATACAAATCACAACCTTTTTTTTTTTTTGGATGGCCTCCCTTCTCCCCTTATAGCCTTCCTCCTCCCCACCATTTTTTTTTTTTTTTTTTTGTGAAGAGAAAATAGAGAGAGAGAAAAACAGAGAGAGAAGTAATTAGAAAGACAGAAAGATTGAAATAGCAATTAGAAGTATATTAAATATACACCAACAAAACACAGGACCACACACCCAACATCTGTCCGCTCACCTGAAAAATAAATGGATAAATACATAGAAGGCATATATAAAAATACACACATACCCATACATATATAAAGATATACATACATACATGCCTATGTWCATAAATATTGTCCGTATTTACACACAGACATAYATACACACTCAGTGACCTGTCAGAACCCCCTGGATCAGAACACCAAATCACAAACTGACAGTTTTCGACAAAACTTTATGTTTTTCCAGGTGTTTACACATAAATCTAGCACAATAACGAAAGTGTTTGGTAGATCATGTTTTGTTGTAACATTGCTTCTTGGCAATACATCTTGAAACTTAGCACCTGCAGGAAGCTCAAAACAGMTGTCAATAGCAACAATAAGTTGTCTGACAATGGTAGAGAACTGGCAAATTTTTTCACGTGTACAACCCGCATCCTCAGCTCCACTGCTCATCCCACAAATGCATGTTCCTTACAAATGTGGCACCCTTTAAAAGGGAAATTAGCACAATTTCCAAAAGTATAAAGCGCATTGCCAAGAAGAAGCGTTGTTACAGCGAATAAATAATCGACCAAACACAAATGTCCTGACTTTTCCTGGTAAATCAATTCCTCTCGAATTATTTGCCCATGTTGAACCTGTACCTGCCTTCTCCATTTCATGGAGGAGCTGGTGCCTTACAGTAAACCTCCAGAGGTCACTGTTCACACTGAACAGGTCACAAGTCCATCACAAAAGACAAATGAGACAAATAAGTATTCATACTCTCACTTTAGGACAACTTAGAGTTACCAATGAATATAGCATGCATGTTATTTATTGTCTGTGGGACCAAAAACATGCATGTGTGCACGGGAGGAACGCAGGAAGACCAGGTGAAAATGTGATCTTCTTTCTGTGAGGCGACAGCTCGAAGCACTTTTCCTCCATGGCACCTTGTGAATCTCATAGTTTAAAACCTCACTTTTTAAGTATAAACCTAATGTTACAACAGTCAGGATGAGATTACCAGCCAGTATGTAATCTTTAACAAAAAATGTATATGTCAGACATTTAACTGAAATCTAAGACTAAAACTAAATTTGCAATTGAGTAAAGAGTTTGGTTTTCTTTTAAAACAATCACTAATGGCATCAAAAAATCATTGTGATCGACAGTCAGATGTTTTTCTTAAGCTGCTTAAAGTGCTTTAAAAACATGCAAAAATATATATTTCTTGCTGAATGAAGACAAATAAAAACATATATTAAAAAATGACCTGTATTCTGTGATACACTGAAGCCTTCTTTAGAACATGTTCATTGGAAAAGCCATGCTGGCCRTATTTCTTCATATTCCTGGTACTTCAACCCTTCGTCCTTTTGCTGTTGAGAGGAAACACAAAAGAGCAGCAGTTTGGCATTTGACAAGAGTCCTTGATTTGTTTCAGATTCTAAATAAGAGCAGCATTAATGGCACTTAAAGTGTAGCCTCTAAATGTGTTGCATACTTTTTTTTCCACAGTAACAAAGCGTCTTTTAGCTCACAGAGCTGAAGTACTGAGATGGAGAGACTGAGCAGCTCCCACTGCTCATTAGGTTTGCTTTTACAACTTATTATGCATAAACAAAACACCCTTCCTCCAATCTCTGCTGAGTAATTGTGTCCCATTATGTTTATTGATATTTTGCTTTTGATGGAAACCTTAATTCTACAAAGCACACAATGAATTTGTGTCTGTATGCACGTGTTTATGTGGCTCTTCAAAGTGTAACAGACCAGYCTTTCCGTCCATGCCAAAACATACACGTTATTACTTTATTCTTTTAGTTTCAGATTGAGACAAAGGAAAAACACAGTATCTGTAATCGTGATTAATTTAAAAATACATAAGCTTTGAAGAGGTGCTTTATTTTTTTGCTGCATTTCAGTGTTTATTTTCAAACTGTATAATATAAATATTTCTTAGAAATAACATTCAAAAGTATTATTTATTATTCACATTTTCACTCACACATAGGGACCAATTAGTTACCGAGAAATCTAACCTGCACGTTTTTGGTCTTTTGGAGAA